CACAAACCACAGAGGAGCTAACATCCGATTCACGATAGCTATTTCCGCTCTTTATGTTTGATGTCAATTTTAAAAAGCTCTCTCTTCGTTTCACAGAAATAATCCACTAGGATAATGGGATACTTGAGAGGGGGAGTCACAGAGTTCATGTTGAAACGAAGATTATCCTTCACATCTATAATGGGGACGACCTGTGTCATGACGTTTCACCAGTCTTGTACTTTGATCTATTCTCAGTTTGTCGCGTCAGTTTCCTCCTCGTAGATTTCAGTTCTTTCTGTGCGCGATAATGGACTGTTCTTTCAAGTTGACCGTGATGCTGGAAGGCTGGTTGATAAAAGGAATGGATCCCATTTGAGGCAGCGGGTTCTTGATACACTGAGTCTCGGGCATGGCTTTGGAAGGTAAAGCCCATCCCTCGAGCTCCCCTTCCACCACATGTACTCTTCACCTCCCCAACTGACGCTAGCCCGCCAATTTACACTTGAGTGAATCGAGGAAAATTACATTTACGTGAGTTTTCCCAATGATATAATGTCTAGCTAGAAATGCCAGGAATCGAACCCATGACCTCTCGCTCCCGTGTAGGCTAGTCTAACCGCTCAGCTATCGACGATGCTTGATGTCAACCTCGTCAGTAAATACGACACGGTGAGACGATAGAATGTTGACTATAAGCATGTCATAAACGGATTGAGCGCTATCGTTGTATTCCAGGTGGTAATATAAGTACTTACTTACGAGTAGTCTCTACCAGACTGCAATGGGTTCTTGGAAAAAGGCAGAAATTAGGGCATCCGTGGGTTACAAAGTGTACTTCTATGACTGGCTAACTCCTCTGATATATTATGTGGTCTATTTGGCCAATTTCTATTATTTTCCCACACAACCTTTTGGAGTCTAAGACTCGTACAGTTGCGAGGGTTCAAGGACGATGTGTAACCCCCCACTCCTACTTGTACAGTTCAGCAACTGCTAAAAAATATCATCTCAGTCATGTGTTGTGATCATGGCCCTATGACCTTGGCCTTTAGATAAATGTACTTTCATTCAAAATCCAACCATGTAGACAGACATCGCCTATACGTGAGTATCTAATAGTGGACAATGTATAACTGATGTACTAGAAATAATGGACATCTATCCCTTTTGAACCACAACATGTTCGTTTCTATATCGACATTTGATTTTCCATCACGAAAAATGATCGGTACTGTGTTTTTTTTTTCAATATATTCGACGTCAGCTAATAAGAGGCATCAAAAACTCCAACTAGTGACACCGGGCTTGAAAAGGACGATCAAATGTTCCTCTCGGTAAGAAGATACATCCCCTGTACACCGCCGGCTTAAGCTGCCCCTGACATCTTCACGTTTTGACGTCGACAGCCGGTCCCCTTGGTCAAACATATGTCGTATTCCCCTTCTTGTTTGCAGAGATAAGGCCGCATAATTGCGATGGGACGCCGCGGACCTTGTATAGGATCATCTACAATAGCTGTGGGAATCTCCCCGGCACTCTTACGTGCAAACTGAAACACATCGCCGCTTACTGCTGAGAGGACGATGTAATCCGTAATATAAACACACGCGTGCTTATCCATCATACATCTGGTCCTGTGGGATCTGGAGATAATATTTCACGCCAATGCACGCGTGGATGCTGCTCTTCACCGTGTGTGAAACCTATTCTAGCCTGCACGGCATCCTTCACGACCTGTTCTGTATTCTTCTGACGCCCTTTTTGTCATTTACCGTCACTCTGTGGTGACCCCCTGAGTCGAACGCAGATTAAGAAGTAAAACACCAGTCCCACTGAATGGCACCGTGACGCATTAGTAGATCACCACAATATTACCAACTGAGGCGGCATAATCTGGGAGATATGATATTCAAACATGTGCTTGGTATATGACAGCATCTATCGTCTCTTTGATTATGCCATGTGGGCAACGATGAAGTTGTTAGATGACTGAAGAAGATAGTTTTGGGACTGCCGCCCAACTCCGCAGCAGCCCTCCCACTCAGCACTTCAGAAAACTGTCGTTGTCGTCCCAATCCAACTGTTGATTCCCAAGTGCCAGCAGATTGTTTTATATTTCTATTGGCTCAGCGGTTATGGATAAAACGACCGTGGTTTGGGCTAGAGGTTGAAACCAAATTGCAGTCAAGAGTCATATAAAAGGTAGAGTGCTATGGGGAACAAAGGACCAACCTGTGGAGTTACTACCAAGTGTTTCTCCTTTTCATTCCTAAAAACCAGACGCGACCGAATGTACGGGTCCGTAGTCATGAAGAATGATTAGTGGTGTCCCCTACAGTAGATAAGTTCTCAACAACATTACTGACCTGTAACGTTCTTCGATGATTCATAATTACTCCGTGAAGGAGGTATCCCTCCTGCAGGAGTATTGTGGTCGGTAGAATTTTCGCGTTCGCAGCTGAAACACACGGTTCCATTTATTCAATCGGCAAGTAATTTTATACGGCGTCTGCAGGCATTCCCGTGACGATGCGCGTATTTTTGTTTTTACCGTAACTGTTTTCGTGGTTAACGTAATATTTTAGAAGTACCCCTACATTTAAATGGCATGTGGGACTGGCCGCAAAAAAAAACAGTTGTTTTGAATAGCGGGGAGGGGGTTTCCTTCAAACAGATACAAGGGTGGATCGTAGTTAGAAACAGCTCTGCGTCGCCTGTTGTTTAAGTATGGGGTGTTTTGAAATGTGTTCGCAGCTAAAAGTCTTGGTTCTCTCCGTTGTATATCTATGTAATTGGGCATGTGGTGTGCCATTATGTTCGTGATGATGTATTTCTTTTTTTCACCGTAGTTTTCATATTGAAGTTATAAACACCCCTATAATGTCGTTGAAATGTTCTCGCCCGGCCGTTGGGTGGCCCGTCTGTACGCTGGGATTGAATGTCAGGGTCGGACGGGCACCGTTTACTTCGCCATACTGTTCCCAAAAAATCTGCAAAATATAAGACTTCACGTAGAATTGTTGCCTATGACTACTTGTTAAGATTCAATTCAGATAAGACCACGCTGGCTGAGATTCCGCGGACTCATCCACAGAAAGTTTAGAATAATCTGATTCAAAAGTTTGAAGCCATCAATTAAGTCTCCTCGCTCCAGAGTTAAAAATAGTTTCTGACATTTTGACGACAGGTAAGATAGTAAAGCCTTCTTGTTTGCGAGGATGCTCCGGTTTGACGTGTCTTACCACGCAGCTTAAAGTCTAAGGAATATAAGACTTCACGTCATACCGAAGAATCGTGAGGACTAAGATTTCATTAAGCATGGTCCCAAGGTATGTCTTCACAAGACAGTGCACGAATTTTTAAACAGGACATATTTTCGGATACACGAATTTTGTTTGATATTGATTTTAAGTAGAGATGTTCTGTTATATGTGTCGTACATTTTCGGTACATAAATTCATCCACCAAAATTTTCAGAATGTCTGAATGCGATCATATTGTCATGCAGATCACGTTATGGTTATAAATAATAAGGATATGTGAAAATGACCTTGTATTCATTTTGCCCAGCATGTCGTGGCCTAGAATACATGTGGGGGACAATTTACTACAAGTGTTGTAACCCTGCTACGATAAGTTGCTCTCATAAGATGGACAGGCGGTCATCAAAATCAGGCTACCGTTCCGTCAATCTTACATCACACTCAGCTTTGTCTTCATAACGTTCTAGCTACTTCCGAAAGGGTATAACACTGAGTTCCTAATAGTTGGTACAAAACAAGGCTTCTCTGTAATTGACGAAGAGGGCTCGCTTTAAGTCACCGACTGGGGTCTTAGCCACGATGGTACCATATTCCGATGTTTGGCGATTTAGACGGATTTTCAGTTCCCAACGGTCCTTGTTATCAACCGTTGATTGATGTCACTCAGAAGCCTGGGGAGGCTAATGACAGCATCACCGAGAGAGCGAGCCTTAAATTAGTTATGTTGTTCTGAATGGCGATAAGGTTGTTACAGTGTTTTAGATGTATGTATGTGTTCAGCCGTAGAGCTCTCTATAGCCAGTAAACATAGCAGGGTTCATCACTGTCTGTGCTACTATTCCCCTCTGGTAATCTTATAATTATCTAGGCGGAGAAAAGTTTCACTTCTTTGAAGGCAATCAAGCGGCAAAAACACTACATATATGGTGATACAGTACTATATTTTCGGTAATATTGTAGAGTTTTTTTGTGTGTGCTATTACGTTTTGTTCTTCTAAATATTTGTCACCATTTCATACACCATTGAATGTTAGATTGTCCCTTGCTGACTTGCCTTCTCTCGCACTAGCTTGTTGGTTATCTTCAAGCAGATCTTTTGCAAAGACAGTATGAAATTGGCCAGGCAGTATCTATTTGCCGGACTGTTACCGGTATGTCATATGCCACCCGAAGGCTTAAAAATATACCAGTACAAAAACAAAAGTCCGATAAAAATGCCTAAGGATACACCAAAAAC